AGAATATTTTTCTGCCAAAACTGTGTACTGGAGATGGACAAGGGTGGAAGTCCTTGGGGCTGAAAGTCTGGGAGCTGATAGGGAGGGTTGAGTGGATGGCTGAGGGCTTGGGACTATCAGTATTAGAGCTCTGAGGATTCCATGGGGTTGAAGGACATAGCTTCTTAATGTTCCATATTGCTATTGGGTGCATTGTAGCCCTTATAAAATTGAGACTAAAAGGCTCCAAGAGGGAACTTTATATAAGGAGCTGGGAAGATGTTTAAGACTGACGGGGCTTTCATGTAGGATGAGGCTGTAATGTAAAATCTAAAGATGGTAACAGATGTAAACTCTGGCAGTGTAAAATGGTCCAGATTAGGAGAAGGGTGAAGTGGCAAAGTACTACAGTTTTACAAATAGATATACATGTACAAACAGGTTGGGCTAGTTTAAATAAATGAACATTTATTTCACTTGCAAATAGAAATTAGCTGGTTATAGCAATAAATGGCGATTGTTTTACATACACACAAAGCATTTTTGCAAAGTAATATTTTCAAATGAAACAAATTTCAAGTCAGTGCTAAAAGGTCCTTAGAATGCACTAATAGGTGTTTAGTGAAAAATGTTGTTTGAAACATTTATTTGGGAAACAGAATTGGTTGAAATTAAACACGTTGGCCACAAAAAACTAGTTTTGTGACTGAAAAATAAACTTTTTAAATCAAGTGTTTCTTTCGTGTACAGAGTAAGGCCTCAAGAGTGTTTTCAAAAATTACATTTTTGCAGTAATGACCTTTCAGCACTGAGCCAACAATTTGCGACTTTTTTCTAATGCTCTGGCAATGTGGATGTACAACTTGGAAAATACAAAATGCACATAGACTTTTGTCCCAGGAAAAACTTATAAAAATGAACAAAGAAATTGACTGGAGTGGGATTTGAACCTGCGACCTCTGGAACACTGTACCAGTGCTCTACCCACTGAGCTATCCAGCCCTATGTCGGTGGTGGTTCCCATTTGTCAATATCTCTGTTTGGGAGGCGAACTTGTTAAAAGTGAGGTTCAGGACAACCACTGGGTTGACTGAACAGTGCTGGTATTTGGGCTGCCTGAATGGGAACATTATTCAAATTTTAAAAGCATGCAATAGTTACAAGCTTTTAGTCCTCAAAAGAAGTAGTATCAAAGTGTCTAGAGTCTTTCCAAATGGTAATTATTTGCAAATATTGAAGTACATGTATAGCACTTGATAAATGTAAACATGAATGTTTCTAAATGTGCATTAATATGAGTCGATGCGTTACGATGAAGAGATACAAATTAAAGGCGAACAAGTCTTCTTCAAAAGCAAACTGACCAATTGTCCATTCAGTTTACAGAGTAACTCTCAAGTCATGAATATTTTGGATACAAGTACAGTACAACGTCACTATACTGAACAATTCGGTATACAGAACATGCCTCTTGGCTCCCAAATTTTCTGTGCACTGAACATCATAAATTGGCTTTAAAGAAAAAAATTTAGGGCTGATGACAGACACTCGAAAGTTAAGATGTCAATAAACTCCGAAATTGGAACGGCCATGTTATGAGCCCATAGCAAAACAAGCAGCCGCATAAGAGAATCTGTTTTACACGAACAAGAACATACAGGTATGTAAAACAACTGACATTTCAGCATGGGAAATAGCACCCTCTTTTTTCTGCAAATTGCACCCTCTGTTTTGGCAAATAGCGCCCTCTTTTGCCAGGACTTACCCCCCCCCTTTTTTTATGGAAATCGGAACATTTTGATTTTTAGACCTATGAAAATGCGACAATTGGAACAGTACCAATGAAATCGCAATAGTTGGGGAGGTATGCAACACCAAGCATTGTGTATGGACCCCGCCCTGTTCATTATAGCAGCATTGCACTGTATACCAATATACACTACTCAAAAAAATTAAAGGATCAGACATTTGTCTTTGAAAATTTCAGCCAGGTGTGTACGTCATTGCCTTCACTTATTGGACACTGGAGCTCATGTTCATGCTTGGTTGAGCACCACAGAATGTGAGACAGTGCAATTGGTTAGTCGCGTTTCAGAGCCCCATTAGCTAGCAGTGTCAAAAAGCATTGGTGATGTGTATTGCTTAGGTATAGCACAAGTTCAAAATGGCCACGTTTCACTCCCTTTGCACATGGAATGACTCTGAGGCAAGGGGGTGAGAGACTGGGAGTGTCTCAGAGAGCTGGGGGGGGTTACAATGACATGAATGAGCTGGCCAGTACTATACAACCCTATCGTTGTACAATAGTGTACACGTATGTATCTCACTTTAGGACATTTTGAGAAAAAGTGACTGAAATAGTGGACCTTTTACCATTTTGTGTTTACGTTTTGAAAACTGTGAAGCTGTTTTTTGCTGACAACCAGAAATTTGATTTCTTTGTATTAATCATCATTTTTACAGGTAATTATAAAAAGAAGTGATTTGGGGGAAGATATGCAAACAGATACATGTCACACATTGCATAGGGTCTCAACAGTAACATAATTTTTTCATGCCGAGATACATACATCTTCAAAGTGCTTCAGTTCTGTGATTCGAAATTACAAACAGCACCCCCACATTAGGGCAATATCATTCTATCTCATGAACAGCGCCCCCACATTACCGCGATATCATTCTAACTCATAAAAAGCGCCCCCACATTAC